CAATGTCGAGATAAATTGTTTTGCCAAAATTCCACAAATATGCTTGCTAATATATCACCTACTCAACACTTAACTGATCTGCACACATCTAAAGTTGTTTTATTCTAACCAACTAGTACTTACATACTATGTACTATGCACATATTCGCTTTTATATCTATATAATGTACATATCGCTAGCTTAGAGTGAAAAGTTCTTGAGTCCACTTTTTATGAAAACTCATGTTTTGATATACACGCAGAAAAAAGTCAGCCAAATATATTTCTCTCAACACATGATTTGCTTACTATAACCAAATAATGTAACTATAACCAAACAATAGGTTTGTTCGTCGAAAATCCAGCAAGAATTATCCAACACTCAAAATATCAGAGAGTAAGAAAAAATTCTCTCAAATTCTCTCTCATGTTGAGAAACTTGCAAATTTCTGCACGAACGCAAATTTGCAGGAATTTGCAAGTTTCGCTGCCAGCTGGCGTCCACGGTTGCATTTCAAACATAAAAAATTTTTATAGAATTTTTAAAATTCTTTCGGATGGCCAAAAACAGGATATACATGTATATTTCTTGTTGTTCTGACTTTCTTTAACATTCATTTCAATTTCTTCATCGTACTAGCTGTCGGGTTTCTTAAATCGACTCTGGTTGCAATTGCATTACGATTGCGAATACCATTTTTTTCAGCCGAATTAAGTTCAAATCATTGGAATTAACTAAATTAATTATATCAACAATTATTTACTTCCTTTTTTCATAAAAAAATCGCTCGTGTTTATAAATTTTTAAATTTAACGAACTAATTTATTCAAATTATTGTAGACAAAAATGCAACCATGCGCCACAACCGCATGTTTTTCGTGTTTGCAAATTCTTGCTGGCAAAATTTTTTCCAGCAAGAATTTGCAACTTCTCTCCAAGAGAACTGTCACTTTGCTCTCACAATTTTTGAGTGTTGGATAATTTTTTGGTCTGCACGAACGCGATTTGGGCAAAAATCGTGATAATTCGTACAAATTCGTACAAATTTTTTGCTCGACGAACAAACCTAATGTATTGAGAAAAACATATTAAGTTGACCAAAACTCTTTTCTCAGTGAAGGAAGCAAGAGAAATTAAAAATACATCGTTCATCGTTTCGAAAGGGATTAAAGTACTTGTTTGATTTTTTTCGTTTATATCCAATGAAAGGCCAATTGCTACGTCCAAAAGAGGCCAAAATAATACCAAATATTTTACCAAATCCTACTGATTGTAATGGAGTTTCGCTTTGTATTAAACACGCGAAATGTTTTACATATTCAAAGTTTTGTGAAGTACTTGAAAAAAAGCGGCTATAGAAAGAAGTGTTTTCCCTTTTCTGTAAAATTGGCAAATGTGGACATAGCAGCTTATCACACTAAGCTAGCGATATGTTCATATGTATGTACATACCTATCAACAATTTCATGCAACTAACCCTACACTACTACCTCCTCTCTTGCTTCCATGCGTCTGTGCCGTCTGTGCGTTTGTCCTTCCCACCTATGTACGATTTCACTCAGGTATTCAGCCATCCTCATCCGATGATTACTTAAATATGAGCATCGAAACAGGCACAACCATTTTCTCGCCGACACGTCCAAAAGATCACGACGACAACCAGTCAAGTGATGAACCAAATACAACAACAACAACTTCTTTCACTTTCCCAGATAAAATAGCACCAACACCAACACCATCGCCACCACCATCATCACAACATTCACCAACGCTGGTAAATAATCTTGATAGTCCAGTGAATAAGCATCGTAAGAAGGAAATTATCCAACCGGAAGAGATACCAATGCTGCCGGGTGCACATCATAGTTCGGATGATGGTGAGGGAAGTCCCGAGCAAGGACGAAAATTCGTTAAGAATATATTACAACAACAGATGCGTGCCCACACCACGCCCACACCATCACCGCGACATCACATTGCCGAAACCGAGTTGACGACAGGCAGTGATAATTATGTGAATGTTAAGTCGTCACCAAAAAAGCTAAGCAACACGAATGGCGCGCGAACAGCTGAAGCATTTTCAAATCCAAGTTATCAAATATTAAAGACTGTTTCCAAGGATGTGGAGAATAAGTGAAGAAGATAGCAGAGTTTCACCTAGAGTATAGTTAATGGATTTACATTACATTAAGTATAAATAAAGTTGACTTTAAAGTGGACTTTAACTGGCGTACGCTTACAAAATGCGCGTTTGATTCCTGAGTTAGATTTTAACTGATCTAAAACACAGGCATACAAAATACATACATATGTACGTACGTATTTCAATGAACTTTTTTCCGCTGAAACCGAATTTGAAGTCAGTCAGAATCGCCAAATTGGTGCAAGTTTATGCGATATTTAACCCCCCAAAAAAAAAAAGTTGTCTTACGAGTATTTGTGTTTTGAGCAGTGTTTTGAGGTTATCTCATAAATTTTAACCACCATGGGTATTTTTATCAGTTTTTGTGTCAATAAGTCGTTTTTTCGTACTTACACAAATAGACTTTTTGTTCTTCGTATTTAATGCAGAAAACTTCCAACCAAATAACGGTGTTTCCTATTATTTTTGGAAAATATCGAACCACTGCTTAGCAGGGGGTCAAAGTCGTTGTCTATTTATTAGTGCAATATTGAAATCGATTTTATGTTTAGCTAATTTCGAACAACCATATTTAACTTAATAATTATCTAAAAAAATTAACATTAATTTTTAGCAAAAAAAAAACCGACTTCAACTCCCATATAAAAAAAATATAGATATATATATATCTCATGATCCACTGATCGGATCTCAACCAGATTAGTATGGGACCGACTCTGAGACACTACCTTTCCGATGCAAATCGGTTGACGTGGTCCAAAGTTATGCGGTAACATACATAAAAAAAAAATAAAAAATAAAAATAAATATTCCGATGAACTGATAACCTCCTCCTTTTTTGGAAGTCGGTTAATAAAGCAAAAAAAAAAAAAGGGAAAACTGGGGCTCATTTGACTATGGCCTTTTCGAAGTGAAGTCAGTATGATTAATCAAATTTGGAATAAGGTTTTTGATTTTACTCAGCGTCATGAAGTTTGACAGTCAACGCGAAGATTTTGCCGAAGCAGCACGTGTCTCTTCTCTTTATACGACGTTCTGCGTATTTTTGTGACAGTGATATATACGTAAAAAAAAAATTTATTGAATATGTTAAAGTGCTAAGTTAAATTACCTAACATTATTTTCAATGGTTTCGAAAATTTTTGCGAATTTCAGTTTAGAAAATTAAATAACGTTCTTTTAACTATATCTAAATTTCTTTTAAATTTTTTTTTAGAGAAAAAAAAACATTTCTGGCATAAACTTTGACAATTTAAAAAATTTAAAAATTAAATTTGAAAAATCTTTTACTTAAAATGTTTTGCCGGATTTCCACTAGGCATTTTAATGACAAAAAAATGTATGCCATTTCAAAAAAAATCCCATGTGGAAATGAACTTAATGACAATTTTTTTACGTAATGACACGATTATTTTTTTAATGCCCGATTTTGTCATTTCTGCCATTTAATGCGTAGTGGAAATCCAGCATTAGTCGTATTTAGAGGATCGAGAACGTGTAAAGTGAAGAGTTTTGAGTTGAATTCGTCAATTTCATGTTGCGGTTTTTGCGAATTCTGAGAAAATATCTTTTTTTTTGGTAGGTGTTTTTAAATTATTTTAGGCCTTTAATGCGTAATCTAGCAACCTTTGAATTTCGAAAAAATATTACATGTATATTTATGTATATTAACATAACAATATGAATGTTACTTTTTTTACTACTGAAATATATGTTTTTAATTCTTTAAGCATTTTGTGGGTAATTGAGGGATTTTTTCCCGACTCTTCAGCTTCTTTTCCTTTTTTTACAAAAATAGCCACCGTGTAAATAATTTTTATATTTAAGTGGAATTTTTTTCAATACAAATTTTTAATACAAGTATTTAGAAAATAAACTGCATTCAAACTTGTTCAATAAAATGCACAAATTAAAAAGTGAACCCCTTAAACCCATCGGCCAAAGAATTTTTTTTTGCAAAACTGTTGAAAATCATATGTCAATCAATAAAAAACACTTTATTTAATAATCCGTTATTTCGTCAAAATTTATTTTTTGGCACAAAAATGTATCAAAATCTTCCATAGTACAATCGTGTAATTCTGACTGCAGTCTCCAATTCAGTTGGGAAAAGTATGTATGTATATTTAAATAGACCGACATAGTGCCTAGGTCAAAACTTTCTGTTTGGGTGCCTATGTAATTTATCAAAGTTCATTGAAAACTTACGAGTTATACATACATAGCCATAAATCGATGAAAAATAGTAAGTGCAAATGTATTTTTATGTATTTTATGTAAACAAAAAGTGCTTGCAAGTGCCACCAAAGCTTTTATTTTAGATCTAAAAATTACTATGTACTTTAAAATTTTGAACTAAAAATTGTAATACAAACTCAAAGTTC